TATATATAATTACAATTCATACCATAAAATAAAAAAAATTATGAAATAAGAAATCTATTAATATATTTAATTATAATGTTCACATACTTTAATTATATTTAATACCATTTAATTCATAAATTAAATTTCAAATAAAATCAATGATCTTGCAATTAATTTCAATTAAAATCTAATTATTTATATTTACTTATTATATACATTTCATTATTAAAAATTACCTTGCAATTAAATAAATAAAAATTTCCTTAACAACGTTTCTCAATACTCAAACACAAACAATTTTCTCGTCATCCAAACACAAAATGAAACAAATTTTTCATAATCCATTTCATATTTTACAAGAATTCAAGTAAAATTTACCCATAAAAAAATAGGAATTATTCACCTAAATCCTCACTTCCCGTTATGGTACCAAATTGCAAACTAAATGTTCTTTTCCCTTTTCACCTCAAATTCTAAACAACCTGTAAGATGGAGGAAAAAGGCTGATTTGAGGAAGAAGAGAAGGAAAGTTTCATGAACACAAACCCAGATCTGGGTTTCTGTTCATGAACCCAGATCTGGGTTTCTGTTCATGAACCAGAGTTTGGTTCACTAACAGAAACTCAAATCTGGGTTCACAAACATGAACACAAAGAAAAAGATGAGAGGAGAGGGTAGAAAGAATCTCAGCAGGGGAAGTTGACAAAAAAAAACCGAAAAAATAAAACAAAAAAGGGAGAAAACGGTTGGAGGAGAGGGAGAAAATGGAGAACAGTTATTATAATAATGGAGGAGAACAGTTACTGTAATAATGGAGGAGAGGGAGATAATGGAGGAGATGGAGAAGTTATTTGCTACAGTGTACTGGGTAAGAGGGGAATTTATGTGATAATAAAGAGTATTTATGTAATATTATAAAAGTAATAAATATAATTATAGGAATATATTCGGAGTTATGTATTCGACTGTTGCTGCGAAAAATTCAACATTATTATGAATTCCAGTAAAGAGTCGACTCTATAAATTTAAATTCGACTCTTAGAGGCACTAGAGTCGACTCTATTATACAAAGAATCGACTCCCAAATTCCAGAGAGCATCGAAACATTTTGGTGCAGAACAAAGTCGACTCTTTGACAGAGAGTCGACTCTTAATGCTGCGGGGAAATAAACTCTCCTCCGTTCAAAATCGACTATTATTTTCTAGAGTCGACTGTTTTGCATGTAAGAGTCGACTCTCAGAGTATAGAGTCGACTCTTTGGCGCGGGATTTGATTAAAACCGCTTCAGTTCCAGATTTCCCCATTTTCCCTCTCTCTCCTATTCGACTCTCTAAGAAACCTAACACTCAACCTAGCCAAAATCCTCCCAAATTTCACCAAAATAACTCACCCAAACACAAACCCACACCATTTTTGGTCCATTCCTCTAAGATTCATGCATAGTCATACAAAATGGTGAGGACTAAGAGAGTTGTAAAGAAAGCAAGGGGGCAGGTGGCAAGCACGTCAGGAAGGTGTCGAAGGGCTGAGCAAAGTCCTGAGGACAGTGGTGAAAGCACAGACACAGAGCAGGTATTTCAACCTGATCACCCTCGAAACTTTGTATCTAGAAATGCTATAGAAGCCTATAATAAATTAGGAAATAGGAAAGTCGTTTATGGTTTTAGAGTAGTTTTAGATGATATATGCAAAGGGGGGCTCCATATTAGAGAAATGTTAAATGCAATGGGGTGGACTGAATTAGTAAGTAGAAAGGTGAAGGTTTACCCGCAGTTGATAAAGATTTTTTATGCAAATTTGAGTGATTCGAAGGATGGAGGGTATAGAACAACAGTTCTTAAGAAAACGTTTGAATTTGATGCTGAAACTATAAATGATGTTTTACATTTGCGAAATGAGGGAGCCATCGAATTGAATGCATTTACAGAGGAATCGGCAAAGAAATTTATCATGGGGGATGAGTACAATGAGGGACAAACATTAACCATTCACCACTTGAATTTGGAGAATCGGTTAATGTTTTGGATTTACAATCACATAATTTTGCCTAGGCAAGGTTCTTATGGAAAATTTAGTGGTCCGAATTGTGTGTGGTTTGCATATATTCTTGATCAGAGGCGGATCAATTTAGGACACCATATTATGAGACAAATGGTGTATTATAGGGGTAGATTGACACTCGCACTAGTGTATGGCACTCTCATCACATTACTTATGGAAAATGCGGTTGTTGATTTGCATGGTGTGGAGTCCCGAGACCTACACAGTCACGAGCTTTTGAATGAGAGTTCACTGAACAAAATGGGGTATGTATTCAGTACAAGAACAAATTCTTGGGAAATGAAGCAGAAAAGGAGAAGAGAAGGACAAGATGATGAAGGTGAGGGGTTTGATGATGAAGAACATGCCGAAGAAGCTGAAGAAGCAGGTCCCTCACAAGCTACTTCATCTCGAGTTCCTCAAAAATTAACCACACAGAGAGGAATGCAGCTCATTCTTGAGAGACTTGGACGGATTGAAGCAAAGCTCGATGATCACATTCGCGAGTGTCAGATGGCAGCACCTATAGGTACTCGAGGGACAAGAGGAGATCCATCTACTGCTGGCACATCCTCCGGACAGCAACCCACTGATCCCTTTTCAAATCCGAAAGCATAAATCCTCCCGTTGCAGTTGTTGATGGCTGTTAAATTATCATTTTAATGTTTGAACACTCTTTTGAAGGTTTTCTTAATGTATTGACTTTTTATATTTTTGAATATGTACATATAATGTTGACATTAAATGCAGTTTAATTGAATGCCGATTTTAACATCAATGAACATAGCATAATTGTGATGATTTGTATTGGTTGATTATGTTCTTGATGTGCTTCCATTGATGGCAAGCAAGTTGGTAGTCCATAGTGTGCTTGAATGGCAATTTGTGGATGTGGTTTTAAAGTTTGATGTGCATGTGGTTTTAATGATTCAATAGTATTTTTTACATAGTTGATGTTGATGAAACAAAAAGGAAACGCAAACAGCAAATTCTGGGAAATTAAACAGCAGAAATCGACTGAAGAGTCGAATATAGGCCTATATTCGACTCTTTAGGCATATGAGAGTCGACTATCAAGTAGCAAGAGTCGACTCCAATTTTCCAGTAGGCTGGAATTTAATTTGCTGCAGCCTATAGTCGACTCTCCATAATAGAGTCGACTCTTGGAGGATTCAGAGTCAACTTTGTGATATGAAGAGTCGACTACCAAATTCCAGTAGGCTGGAATTTAATTTGCTGCAACCTATAGTCGACTCTCCATAATAGAGTCGACTCT